TTTTTAAAGTGATGTGATGGAGAATATGAGGTTGAAAAAGAAGGAAGAATTATTAATGTGATGGAAAATATTATTTTATTGAAAAATGTATGATTGAAAATGAGTAGAAGAATGAGAATGAAAAAAATAATGTGGCCCAAACAAGGGCTTGAACATCATAATTGAAAATTCGTAGGTGAGAAATAGGTTTATAACCAAATGGAAGTTGTAAATGTGAGTATGGATGAAAAGCAATTGGTGTTATACGAACCAATGATGCAACATATATATATCTAATATAGCATGACCCAAAATAGAATATGTGACTTTTATTTTCATATGTAATGACCTAGCAATGAATTATAAAATATTTTGAAACGACCCTTCTAAGCTATTTTGTGTATGAGCATCAACAATTGAATGCTCAATGACAATTCTAATTGACATGTACTACTTATCGAATGTTTGTGATATAAATTCATTGGCATTATCGAGATGAATTATTTTGATTGAGTAATAAAAAAATCGAGTTCATGTTTTTATGATTTGCGCAAATAGTCTAACAAAAATTGAATTCCTAAAGAAAAGTAAGATAAAATCATCTAGTAGAAGAATCGCCTAAAACCATAAAATAACGAATGGTCTACATGATAGGTGTATCGATACACACATATCTCCGTAATTCTTTCTAAAAAAGTTAATATATTGTCTTTTTTTTTTTGGCAATTAACATAAAATAGATTTGATGCAACGTTTATATTGCTTATAGGAATCTAATCTTGAAACATAATGAGTTGAATAACAATTAGTATTCTACTATATTCTAAAAGTATCGAGCACTCATAAAATATGTAACATTACTGTAATGTCATACCGTTATTTTATGGGAAAAATGCATAGTGTATTACGTTTTTAACTCATAAGCAAAAGTTCTAAGCAAAGATTGGATTCGACGTTGTATATGTTACGTACAAAAATAAATTATTGTACCTTGTCAGTCACAAAAGGGTACAGAAAATAATTATTGTCTTTTGGACATTTGTACCTTGATCATTAAGGTGCAACTAGGGATGGGCGTGGGTTGGATTGGATCGATTTTTGCCCCAACCCAACCCATATAAAGATTGAAACCCAACCCAACCCAATCCAATCCAATCCAACCCAACTAAATATCGGTCGGGTTGGATTGGTCGGGTTGCGACAACATGTCAATATGCTTCAAAATCTAACGGGGTTTTCAAAAGAGGCCTATTGTCCCGACCAATATCATGGCACCAACTGTAACAAGTTACAGGCATTTCGATACTCAAAACAGTTAACAAATTGAAAGCTAACAAATTATAGAAGTTAGCAAAAGCCATTTAAGATTTTGAGGAAAGACATAGCTAATGAAGGGGTTGTCCGTTCTCCTCAGGAATTGGAATGGACTAAAACACTCCAAAATCATTTAGAAATGCAAGCAATCAACTCAACCTAGCCATGTTTAACACTGATCTTCATACACCGCAATAGCAAGGTAAAGCAAAATACAACTTGTTAACCAATATTCTAGCAAATGAACAATTTTTTGTGGTTGTGAATAACTGATAAAAAAGCTAGAAACTCGCAGAACTAAAAGATGTGCAAGAGGTTGGGGGAGAAAGAAACTGACCATTTAAATTAGGATATGACAAAATGAATGATGTAAATCTATTTCCATAGTTCAATACAAAATATTTCAGGTTGCATCTGGGCTCAATTATAGAAGTATTAGACAACACTTTTAAAACTTACATGTTAATGAGGACAATGTCCGCAACTGCCAGAGCAAATAATGCACTTTGTTTCTCAACTGTTGCATCATCCTGAAATCAAATTTC